ATAGATCTAAAAATAAATATATATCTCGAAGTAAACTTCAATCAATCATAACTTGATTTCTGTTACTTTGTTTGAGTGTGTGATGCGTTGTAATCATTTTCTGCTAGGCATAGGTACATGTTAAGGAGACCTGTATGTATAGGTTCCAAAACACACTCACATAGTCCACACCACTGTATTTTCCGAACATATCCCACATATCCATGTGCTATGCTAGACGACAACGACATAAGGCAAACCCATTTGCAACTGGGGTTGGGACCGCAACTTGTTTTGGACAGGACCACTGACAACCAGAGCATACCCAGTATTTTCTTCCAGCATAAAAAGCTCTCGAACGTCGTCAACGGCTCAGGCAGCTCTCTCAGGTATAGTTTCAGGGCGCCTGTATGGAGTTACAAGTAGTAGCAACGTTTGCGTATAGTTTATAATGAGAGATTCCCGAAAAGGTACGCGTTTGGTACAATGCAGTTGACTATGGATTGTGATCATTCGCGAAACGAGTGCAAACGGTTGAATGCTTTCAAACTCGCAGGCCAGGTCATGCAAAGCACAGATTAGTCTAAATACTTCACGCACGAGAAACGAACCTGTCCTAATCATATCACATACTATCCTGCAACAACATACACACCCTACAATGAATGGACACATAGCCAAGCGTCTCTATGTATAGGTCTCTTCAGTTATGTATGAGGACAACACCGCGAGTGTATATAACACACAGTCCCTGTGACGTGCCTTTTTTATAGTCTACACCAATACAGTAGCCAGCATAGTATCATACGATCGCCAGTGGTCGTGTGACAGGCACCTATGTACGGCCACTGAATACTCCAACACATGGCTGTATGTATATAGATCTAAACATACGCACGTTCGATTAAAATGACTATTCAAATCTGCATGAGGCAGCTAGGTGAGACCTTTGTATATACATAATTATGCCCGTACGCTTTGAAATACCATCCGTCGATAATTCGGATATATATATATATAAATATATATATATATATATATATATAACAACACACACACACACATATATAATAATAA